ATGCCATTCAACATAATCTAATGATATGAAGCTGGGGTTCAATATTACTCTAAGGTGCGAAAAATAAATTGTTGGAATAAATGAACTCCTGTTCCTTTAAAAGTTCTCATACCTGAAACATTAACTTATCTGAATTACCTTCTCTATATTTTAATTTCTATTTATTTCTGTTTTTCTGTACTTTCTATTTCTATTTCCAGCAGATGTGGCTTTCAACCATCTTGGCTTAAAATATGATAAACACCATTGCAGGAAAAGGAAAGTGGTGTACAAGAGGAAATGTAGTTCCCACCATGCAAAACAGGTAAAAGAGTCATTACTGACAAGTATTAATCCGTTTGTGTGAGCACAAGAACAAAACTAAAGAGATTAACAACCAAAGAAACACAAAGTGTGTTTTTAAAAATGAATTCTGGGATGTGGTTATTGCAGGCAGGGTTGATATCTGTTGTTCATACCTAGCTATCTTTGTGGTGGGCCTTCTTTGCAAACTGCAGCCCATGATGCAGCAAAGGAAAAATAACTGGTTGTTATTTTATTCATGATTATTGAATTAATTTTAAGCTGCTACAGTCCAACATTGCTAATAAATGAGTTCAAAGATTTTGATCCAGCAACAAAGAAGAAATGGTGAAACTCACCTAAATATGACTGCATTCCCATGCATCTGTCGCCCCTGACCGAGTGCAGGGCGGGATTGGTAAAGTTGCTGCATTGTTTTTGTAGCTAGAACACTGTAGCTACAGTGCAGCAACTGGAGGGAGTGGTTATTTAAGACCATGTAACAAACTAAGTTAGTAAACAACAGCAAACGCACCCTTAGAAGGAACAAGCCTTATCTGGCTATGCTGTCAAGTAAATGGAAGTCACTCTGAAGCTGACTGTACTGGACAAGCTACACCCATAGCAGTGCTCAGTGTCCTTTGCACCACAACACAAAAGATGCATGAAGATTTTAGGCATAGCAGAAATGAGAGAATGTAAACAGATTCTTCAGAGCTTTTCAACTTTATGAAGACATAACTTAAGAGGGAACCTACAGAACTCTATGCAACAAAAACAAAGTTGCTGGAAAAGCTCAGCAGGTCTGGCAGCATCTGTGAATGAAAAAACAGAGTTAACGTTTCGGGTCCAGTGACCCTTCCTCAGAACTCTATGCAACCTTTACTATAAATGATTGTGCTTGATAGTACACAACTGAAACATTGTTAAAAGGAGATAAACATTGAAGTTCTTCAATTTTCACTCTTTAGAACTAGGATACAAGAAATAGATTTGCAGAAGGGACATCAATTTATGCAGCATAAGGAGAGGCTGCTGCTTGGTTAGGCCTTTTTGACATGGAAATTCAGCAGGAAGCTAACTGTCAATCTTAGTTTTCAGACCAGGCATGAAGACTTTGACTAGCTGATTTAGTACTATAACCAAATCCTAGGTAAGGTCATCCAGGTTATTATGGTTTCGGACATATATCCCAAATTATTAAGGTCCCAAGTGAGGAGGGATGAACTGGCTCCCTTCTTTATTCACCAATTCCTTAGGTTAGTTGCAACAAGGTTTATCTTAAAAAGGATCCTTCGTTTGTGGATGCCTTTCACTCTTCATTTTAAACCAAAGCAATTTAATCAAGCTTTCATGAGCTAATAAAAGAGTGTGTTTATTAATTACTCAATGTGAAAAAGAATTAACAGAACACACACACACACACACACACACACACACACACACACACACACACACACACACA